AGAGCAAAGCAAATCGTTGTACAATTTCAGAATACCAGAGACAAATAAAGGATCCTAAAAAATAAATCAGGAATCAGAAAGGCTTACAACTTCCAAGTTTTAACAGGAAAACTAGAAGTCAACACAGTTCCATCTTCAAAATTCTGAAGGCAAACTTCCAACTCATTCCGGAGTAGGATAATCATTCTCAGTGATGGAAAGTTTCAAAATGTTGCCCCCAACATAATACTTTCTGAGGAAACTACTGGAGAATGTTTCACCAGAAGGGAATAAAATAAACAGGAAGATGTGAAATCCAGAAACTCTTAATTGACAAAAAGTTGTACAAGAAAGGAAACGCAATCATAATCGAATGTCTCCTTCCGCATGCTTATTTATAAACATTATGGATTTAAAATTTTTCCTGAAGATAGAGGAAAAATGGGGGAGGGAAAACATGCAAGTGATAAAAAGTTTTTTTTTCTGGGGAGAGAGGGGCTCAGAGATGGTAAAAGACCTAAACTTTCAATTTCCATAAGAAAATTAACAGGTGATATCTGAGACAGAAAAATTAAGAGGTAGCCATATATACACATTGGTTTAAAACACGGACAGAAATACTGCAATTGCTAAAAACTTGAAAGTAGCTGCCTCTGAGAAGTGGAAAGTAAGGAGAATTTGAAATTTTCATCAACAATTATGTGGTACTATATGATTTTTTAAGGCATTAATAGGCATAATTTTCATAAGAATAGTAATACCATTAAATTAAAAAATCATTAAAAAAGGATGAAGTAAATATAAACAGGTTTTAGAATACACTAAACTAAAAAAGTGAGTTGTAAAACAATATGAATAGTATCACATTTATGTCTTAAAAAAATGTCTACAACACACCCAGGTACTCACACATACGACAGACACTGCACATACATAGAGAAAGGCCTAAAAGGTCTGGAAGGACATACAAACTTGAGGGAGAATGGGACTAGGGGTAGGGGACGGACAACGGTAATTCATTTTCTATATGTACTTCTTACTTGTTCAATGTTTTTTATAACAAAGATATTCTATAACAAATTTTAATGACAAGGGTAGATGTCCATAATAATACACTGTCATAAAAAAAAAAGTGGACATAAAGGTATATATTTGGTATGATCCCCACTGTGTTTATTTTTTTTTAATGTACATTAATTTTTGAGAGAGAGAGAGAGAGAGACAGAGAGAGACAGAGAGAGAGAGAGACACACACACAGAATTGAAGCAGGCTCCAGGCCCTGAGCTGTCAGCCAGGGCCTAACGCGGAACTTGAACTCAAGAACTGTAAGATCATGACCTGAGCCAAAGTCGGCCGCTTAGCCGACTAAGCCACCCAGGTACCCCTCCCCACTATGTTTTTTAAAACGTAGCTTCTAAAACTATTTTTTTTTTTTAATCAAGAGGACACTTTTATCTCAAAGTATTATCTAATTCCCAACTTAAGTGGCTAGAAATAAACTTGCTATGAATAAAGCAGGAGCAGTGACCTGTGCTCTGGCCAGCCAGACACCTATCTCCCCGCAGCCATCCAGGGTCCTATAGCAACCTTGGGGCTCTAGGCTGCATAGTGTGAAAACTGGTACTATTGTAAAGAGGAAGGGAAGAAAAATTTGGAACGTGACTTTCTCTGAGATATGGGATTACAAGTGATTTTTTCTTTTGCTTTTGTATAATACATATACGTACATACCTTTCCTATGATTTGGAACAGTTTACATAATATCTGTTCCTTAACATGCCTATACAACCACCTAAAGCTGGCACATTTGTAACAGCAGGGTGTAGAGATGGCCAAAAAATCTTCATTAATCTTTTCAAGTTCTGGTTCTATATTCATATTTCCTGTTTCTTACGTTGACTTCAATCACTTATATTTTTCTAGAAAATTTTCTACTGCCTGTTCCAAATTTATTGCATAATTTTAATTTTACTTTAGTTTTCTTTTCAAAAATTCAGTTTTTAAAAAGTCTTATTTTTCAATTCTACTTTAACAAAATTTTTTACCTAAACCGTAATTCATTTTTCTACTTTGGCTTTTTTATTGCTATTCATTTTTCAGCTTTTTGAGCTAAAAGCCAAGTTCATTACTTTCTAAGTTTCTCATTTATAATAAAGCATTAGAAGCTATCAGTTTCCCCCTGAGGGTAGTTTTAGCTGCATCCGTTGGCTTTTTGTTGTTTGTGTTGTTACCATTAATATCTAAATAATACACAACTTTAATGTTTCATCCTCTTTGACCCAGTCACTATTTCAAGTAGATGATTATTTTTAAATTTTTATTTATCATTAATTTCTAGTCGTATGCATTGCCATAAAAGAGACTGGCCTGTAAGACTTTGAGTTTCTCTCTTTAAAAGTTTTCAGTGTGATCTGGGACATAATCAATTTTTATAAATGTTTCATAGCATTTGAAAATAATCCCGCGACAAACAGCCTTTTGCTATTTGTCCACAGTAAGACCCTGCTTCTTCTCTTCCACAGGATTTTTCTAGTTCTTTTTTGGGTTCTTCCATTGTCTACTTACTGACTGCTAAGTATCCATAATCATCTCCTTTATGTTGTGGAAATTCCTGAAATTTTCTGGTGCATGGCAGCTCCCTCTGGAACTATATTTTATAGTTCTTTTGTCATTTCCATGGAATTTTTTGAGAGGTGAAAGGTAAAATTGTGAGCTTGAAGTGTAGCATAGCATATGAAGGCTCATCTCTAGAATCAGAAAGACCAATGTTTGAACTCTAATCCTACTACTTCTTGGCTGTAGAATCTTGAACATGTTACTTAAATTCTCAGGGCCTCTGTTTCCATATATAAAATAATAATTATGATAGTTAGCAACTAAGCTTATTAAGAGTGGTAAATGAAAAAATGCAGGTAATCACTGAATACATCATTTGACAAGCAGTAGTACCCAGTAATATTAGCTATTGTTGCTGAAATGGGAATGACAGTCCAAACTTTTTACTACTTAATGTCAAACAAAAAGAAAACAGTGTTTTACACCAGAGCCTGATCATATAGATAATAAATTTTATGGATATATTTGATAGTCCCAACTGACTAAGATGTTTACCTAAGGACAATTCTACAGTCTAATAACTTCATTAATAAAGCCTGGTTACTTGACACTTATAATTTATCTGTTTTACAAACATTTAAAAGAATTTCCTTTCTGTGCATCTGTAGTAGTTATAAAGAAATATACCACTTATTCCAGTACTTTAATAATCAAATATATACCCAAAAGAATGAAAAGCAGGGACTTAAACATCTAGACGTTTGTACACCAATGTTCACAGCAGCATTATTCACAATGGCCAAAATGTAGAAACAACTCAAGTGTCCATCAATGGATAAACAAAGTGGAGAGGGCTGTTATGCCTACAGTGGAATATTACTCAGTCTTAAAGAAGGAAGTTCTGATACATGCTACAACATGGATGAACCACAAAGGTGTGATACTAAATGAAATAAGTAAAACACAAAAGGACAAATATTCTATGGTTCTACTTAAAGGAGATACCTAATCAAATTCAGAGAGAGAGAGAGAGAGAGAGAGAGAGAGAGACAGACAGAAAAAATAGTGGTTGCCAGGGGATGAGAGGAGAGGGTAAATGGGGAGTTGATTTTTAATGGGTACACAGTTTCAGTTGGGAAAGATGAAAAAGTCTTGGAGATGAATGCTGATGATGACTGCACAGCGATGTGAATATATATACACTAATGAAATGTATACACAAAGATGGTTAAAATGGTAAATTAGATATTATATATATTTTGATACAATTTTAAAAAAGTAATCAAGTGCCTACATGGTGGTGAATCTATATTTAATTCAACATAGTATTATTTATTTATTTTTAAATGTTTATTTATTTATGTGTTTATGTATTTATTTATTTTGAGAGAGAGAGAATGAATGAATGAATGAATGAATGAATGAATGAATTCCAGGCAGGTTCCAATGTGGAACCTGATGCAGGGCTCGATCCCATGAACCATGAGACCACAACCTAAGCCAAAATTAAGAGTCAGATACCCAAACGACTGAGGCACCCAGGTGCCCCTAACATAGTACTATTTATAATCGAAGTAAAACATTTTGGAAATATGTCTTAAGGCTAGATACATAATTCATCTTGTTCAGAGGGCAAACATTAACCTCTGCTCCCTCAGACTCAAGTTCACTGCTCCAAACTCTTTAAGAGGTGGGACTGGAGGGGCCTCACACTCATACCCACAAATATTTTCTTTTACTCTCTTAAAAGCGAATATAGAACCATAGTAAAATTGTACTTGAGTAAACCTACCTGAATAAAAAAATCTTTACAGGAAAGTTCTTCATATAGAAGCATTTTCTTTATAAGAGAAAAACTAAAAACCATCTAAATATACAACACTAAGGGAAGAGCTAAGTAAACCACATAGCAAATGAAATACTATGCAACCACCAAATATGATATTTATGAATAAGATAGACAAATGTTTATGCGATAGGTGATTTTAACTATGTGAAACATACATTCCCAAAAGAATAGAATGAGACATCAACATGTTAATAGGGGATTACCTTTGAGAAGTACGAGGAATGATCCCTCCTTGTCTTTACACTTTCTCTTCCTTTCAAATAGTCTCTATTTGCCTTTGCTTTTGTAATGCATTATTTTTATAATGGGAAAATGTATCCTTTTACTTTATTTTAAAACTAAGTAGGGGCGCCTGGGTGGCTCAGTCAGTTAAGTGTCCAACTTTGGCTCAGGTCATAATCTCATGGTTTGTGAGTTTGAGCCCTGTGTCGGGCTCTGTGCTGACAGCTCAGAGCCTGGAGTCTGCTTTAGATTCTGCATCTCCCTCTCTCTCTGCCCTTCACCTACTTGTGCTCTGTCTCTCCTTCTCTCAAAATTAAATAAACATTAACAAAAATAAAATAAATTAAGTAAAAAACAAGACGAAAAACTTAACTTTTCTCCCCAAGTACTCACATTTTCAGGTATGCTGGGAAGTTCTCTGGTATCAGGCACAGTAAAATAAGAATGCTGGAAAAGAAAAGCAAATGCTATTTATTTTTGTAAACATATGCCACAAGCACATTACTCAGAAATCCAGTAAGGGATCTGAAGATAGTTCCTTACTCAATTGAGGAAAGTTTCACTCATAGGAAACGACCACAGAATATTTTCTTTGGATAATGTTGGATTACAGCCAGACATGTTAAATCATCAGTTTGGTAGACGGAATTCTTTTCTATGAGAGATGAACATCTTTAGGAGATATAAATGAACAGCTCAACGAGGTTAAAGGCTAAATTCCCCTACAATGTTTGCACATTTCTGAACACATGAAAGCTGCAGGCTTCATAATTTATTGTTCAATGAGGCAAGTGGACTCAAGGGACCAAGTATCACTAGGTTCACTCAGCAATGGTCTTACCAACCAAACCTGCCATTTCATTTTAGCATCTGAGGTTATATCCATATACAAGCTGCGGGCAAAATCTGCCCCGAAGGCCCAAGTGACGTTAAGGACAGCTCTAACTGAAGGTCTGCTGCACTGAGATCACTACAGATGGCTAACAGTGGAGAATTCTGTCCCCTATGCAGGCTCTGCAAATAAGTCTCCTGACTTCCAGTGTAATCTCCAGTGAAGGGAGTGGGAGACTCAATGGAGCTGAAAGCCTGACCTGTTCAAAGAACTTTCAAGGAGGCATCCCCATGTATGTAACGAGCATATGTCCCTGAGTTAAATGACAACAGGCTGAACTGATGACACCTCTTCTGTGCTACTAAAGACAAGGAGGACAATGGCAAGCAGGACGGGAGAGGCTGGTGCTAGCCAATTAAAAATGGGATTGTGCAAAGGGCAGGAAAGGTCGCAGCAGAGAAGGTCAGCTTAGCCACGGCCAAAGTTCAAACCTGGACCCCCAAGTGACATTTCAGGAAGTCCCTCCCCTCCATTCTTGGATAATTGCAAAATAAGTAGGTCTCAAGAAGAATGGGTTGTATAGACTTCCTGAAATGAAAGGCTGGGTGACAACTGCAATAATGACAACAACAACAATAATAGTATAAGCTACTTGCCTGATATTCAACAGATACTGACTGTTGGATACTGCTACATGGAAGGCTTTATGTCAGGGAGTTGTATAAATATTATCTCTAATTTCCATAACAAATTTTAAGATGATATTATCTCCATAGTATAAGTGGGTAAATTAAGGCTAAGGGCACACAGCTAGCAGGTAACAGAACCAGGAACTGAAACCAGGTCCAGAGAACGAGAGCTATTCTCTTCCCACTGAAACAGATTGCTATACCTACACTTTTTATGAACAAATTATAGCTAAGGCCTCTTGAATTAAAGTAAACTAAAAGGCAGAAACAAAAATTATGAAAAGACCACTTAAAAAAAAAACCCCTCTCTGCAAAGCATCATTCCAAAAGCTGCATGTCTGTGCCAAAATACCACCTATGAAGTCTTATAATAGAGACTATGCAGCATGAAAACTAGTTAACAATTGGGGCACCTGGGTGGCTCAGTCAGTTAACTGTCCAACTCTTGATCTTGGCTCGGGTCATGATCCCACATTTGTGAGTTCGAGCCCCTCGAACTGTCAGGCTCTTAGGATTCTCTCTCTCCCTCTCTCTCTGACCCTCCCCTGCTCACAATCTCTCTCTCTCAAAAATAAATAAATAAACATTTAAAAAAACGCTAGTTAACATCCGATTCAATTTAACAATGAGTTGTAAAATACAAGGTTAAATTTGATGTTATGAGATACCAACTTCTATCACAAACGGCTAGGGGGAGTCCCGGGAAATGTTCAGTAATGGATGTCCACATGGTGATGGAGTGACAAAATAGTGGCCGGCACAGCAAGGGAGAAGGAACAAGGACCACAGAGTCACCATTTAATAGTTACGTGAACTTAGTCAACTTCGCTTGATAGCTCAGAACTTCAGTTTTTGAACCTGTAAATGGGAAACCTGAGGTCTCCTTCAAAACTGTTCTGAAGAATAAACGTTATACACGTGAAGTGCCTAGCATTCCATACATTATATTTTAATAGAAAATTATTACTTCTCGACTGCTAATTTGCATTTGTATTTTTCTCAATTGTCTCTACCAGACACACAGAAGTAGTCTCTTCTGGCCAAAGACACAAAGTCTAGGATTGTCATTTTCCCACATTTCAGGTTTTATAAGCTGAATGTGACTAGCCCTTCAAAATCCGAAATGCAACATGGAGAGAATTCCTCCCGAATAGGAAAGAAACAAATATCTGCCTTTACAGATGCAATGGATTGTAAACAGTGAGGCAACGCAATTCCAAAACCAAGTAGTCCCCAGGCTGTCCTTTGAGATTCTGTCTTGCTCCATCACCCATGAAATGCAGCAACCAGAGGAGGTCAGAAACATTCCTAGGAACCACTGGCACGAAACAGCTGCACCTCCTCCCCCCAACAGTTTCTCCTGCCCCTGGGATGGCTTGTCCTTGAGGTCTGGCAGCCACTCAGGGGAAGGAGTGGCCCTTCCTCCCCAGCAGCTGGTGACCCAGCCAGGCTACTCCACAGCTACCTGTCGGATGTCATTACAGACTGAAGCGGAGAGATCAAGCTGCTTGAGGAAAAGGGACAGGGACAAAGGCAAGGTTGCTTAGCTATCTGGCAATGACCCGAACAGGTTTAAAGCTCATTTCTTCATCATCTTTTCCGTGCAGTCTTCCCTTCAAGAATTTCTCTAACAAGGTTCCTTTCCTTCCTCTCTTCTATTAGAATGAACAAAAACCTCTATCAGACCAGTTTCTTCTTTGCTCCCTTTCTTTCAACACTCATGGCCTAGTGGAAAGAACATGGGCTTGGAAGTTAGCCCTGGGTTTGAAAACCCCAGTCTTCTCACTTATTAACCACACAGCCTTGGGTGAGCAAGTACCTTTTTCTCTCTAAGCCTCATCTATGAGACGAGAATGCTACTATCTGTTCTGTAGAGTTGTTTTGAGCATTAGAGATGCATACTTGGCAGAAATTAAAAACTTAACGAAATAGAAGATCTATTATTAGTTATTGGTAGTAATACTGCTTTCAATTTGATCATTAAAAAAACCCTGTGAGATATGTTTTCTTTATGAGGGCAAATACACTAACCACTGAATACCAATGCTGCACCTGGTCCTAGTGAAGCTGAACAACAAAACTTTCTATTATTTCAAAAATAAATCTTCTTATCTACCAGACCGCTCGGTCAGTCTGTCTGTCTGTTGGTCTGTCTATCTATCTATCTATCTGTCTAAAGAAAGGCAGACTGCCACATGCAACACCTCATTTGGATGTACCTAGAGCCTTGGAAGCTTGACTACCCTATGTTCTCCTACAAATGGACCTTGAGAGCTTGTTTAGAGATTCTAGCAGGAGAGCACAGCTACTCCTATGCCCTGGACTAAAGAACGATCCTCCTCTATCAGGGGAAGGTCGTGCTCTTTGACCGAAGGCACAGCTTTGGGAGGGACATACATGGAGAGGTGAGGGAGGAAGGGGATGGGCAAAATCAGCTGGATCCTGTGATCAGCGGGGTGACAGATGTCACATCACACATCCAACACAATTTTTTAAACATTCAGATCCCACAACATAGGGAAAATAGCCCCTGGGTAATCAGTCAATAGCTGGCCAATGGGTGTCCATCTGAGAATTCTGATGAAGGTGGTGGCAAAGGTTTGACCTGAAGAATCAGAGAACTCCAGTAACTGAAATATGAAAAAGATCCCCTACACCTCTTCTGACATCTTATCCGATCAATGAGGAGCTTGGTACCCACAGGCTAAAGGTTTTAAGATCACCGAGGTCACCGGCAAAACTACAGCTAGACTGAAACTTCCCAGCGTGGAGGGTTTTCAGCTGAGCGCACCACACATCACGTAGCGTGTACTTAAAAGAGTTCAAAGAAACAATCATTCCTGTGGGCCAGGAACCATGCTAGGCTCTCTCCATTCCTGTCCTTGAGGGGCCAGTGGCCAAGACCAGAGAACAGATGTGGTGTGACTAAACACTGCAAAGCGTACAAGATGCTCGGGGCAAAGAAGAAAACCTCGTCTAAGCCTTGTGGAGAGAAGGGAGGCAAGGGGAGGATTTCTCTATAAATAAAATCCAAGGTGAGTTCTGAAGGATAAATGTGGGTTACCTTAGTTAGGAGGAGAGAGGAAGTGTTGAGGGCTCAGGGGCGACAGCATGGGCTTCAGCAAAGGGGCATGCACAGCAATGACGAGAAGGGAAGGAAAGCATGAGGCAGGGGGCTGAGGAGGTGGGAAGGGGCCAGCCATCACACCCCAAGCCCGGCACCTGCCATCCAGGAGATGCTAGTGATGGGATGCCAACCAGGCAGAGGGGAGCCTGGGGACACTTGGGACCCATTCCTCATGGAATCCCAAAGAAAGGGAAGAACTTTAACTCTCTGGCCTGTCTTGAGTCCAAAGGCTTCAGAGGCAGGGCTGGGGAAGGTGCAGACAACAAAAGACGATCCTGTTCGGCTAACTCCATCTTACTGTTAATGATGAAATGGTTTCTCGGCGATCGTTAATTTTCTGCCCCCACTTACCACACTGAGATGAACAGACACTCCTGGGTCAGGAATGGGAAGTTTGTGCAGAGTTTCAAGAAGCTCATTCCACTGATTTTCCTGAAAGAAATAAAAGGCCTAAGTAACAAAAGCAAGGCTGAGCCCTCAGTCAGAGGCCAGCAGGGAGGTCTGAGCACACAGTGAGCTGGAGGCCCTCCTGACAGAGGGGGCTGGGGAGGTAGTGGCCGCAGCATAGAAACAGGCTTGATATTCAAGTAGGTTGGACAAAAGACACTGCTTTATGGCTCAATATAAGAGCCAAACAGATCCTCCTACACCAAGTTTGACATTTTCTACTGAGTAAGACACCTACCATGACCGCCTTTTATGGATCATATACCATAAGCTCTCAGCAAACCTACCCTCTCAACTCCATAGCAACAACTTTTAAATGCAAACAATCCCAGCTTACAGGGCGGGGGTGGTTGGGAGAAACAACGACGACACTATAGATCTTGTCTTCATCATCATTACCCTCAATTAATTTTATTGAGTGCTCGCTGGATGTACACAGCAGCATCCAATTATGGAAAGTTAAAATGAACTACATACAACAGCATGCAATATAGTATGGTGGCTGTGCATTTTAATTAGTGAAATTGAGCCACAGAATGAAATACAAAGCAGTACAAATTATTCGATTGAGAACAGATTCACTTTTAAAATGCTCAAAAGAACACTGCTTATAGAATTATGCAAAAGCCATTTCTCCCACTCTGTGGAATTCTCTGTGCTGACAGAATAGTATTAAGCTTGCAGTTCTATCCATTTGTTACCTGTTTGATCCTCACAACTACCCCACTTCACAGACTGAAAACTGAGGCTCCGGAGGGTGCAACAACTTGGCTCAAGTCAGCCAGTTAGTAAGTTGCACAGCCAGGAGCCGCATGCAAGTTTTCTGTGTTCAAGCCCAGAGGCCTCTCCGCTGCTCTATGGCAGTCTTTGGAATAAACTTAAAGGAGAGGGAAAAGAGGATGAGTCCAGATCAAAAACCTGTTTCAGGGGCACCTGGATGGCTCAGTTGGTTAAGCGTCTGACTTCGGCTCAGGTCATGATCTCGCGGTCCGTTGAGTTCAAGCCCCATGTCAGGCTCTGTGCTGACAGCTCACCTGGAGCCTGCTTCGGATTCTGTGTCTCCCTCTCTCTCTGCCCCTCCCCGACTCACACTCTGTCTCTCAAAAATGAATAAATGTTTTTAAAAAATTAAAAAAAAAACCTGTTTCATTCCGAACTCTGATAAATCGTTCCAGTCTCTCACAGATAAATGAATGTGTGCACATGCACACGTTTACTTCTGGTCTGCAAAAAATCTCGAATTTACAGAGTAATTGTAAGACAGCAATTTTTTATTTCCTGAACTATGTACAAGTGAGTTGCTGACATTATGCCCCATCATCCATATATACAAAGGACATTCTCCTGTATAACCACAATTAATCATCAAAATCAGGAAATTAATATTGATAGAACATTCCCATCTAATCCTCAGATCTCATCAAGTTTTATAAATGTGCCCATAATGTCCTTGGTTAGCAAAATAATCCAATTCAGAATCACATGTTGCCTTTAGTTGTTAGGATTCTCTGGTCTTCATCAGTCTGGAACAGTTTGAGTCTTTCTTAGATTCATAGGCACTTGACAGTGAGTCCAGTCATTCTGTGGAATAACTCTCAATTGTTTGATGTTTTCTATTGATTCAGACTTCAATTTGTTCCATGACTGATGATGTTCCACTTTGATCATTTCATTAATTCATCTGAAGTCTCTATTCTGAAGGTACTCATTTTCCCTCTGTGTTTAGCAAGCATTTTGTGGAGTGATACTTTAGGTAAATATCCCATTCCTCATCAAACTTTTAATTTGTCTGTACACACACACACACACACACACACACACACACACACACACACACGTAAGGACACACAGTTTCCTATTTTACTCAATGACTGCAATCCTTTGCTATTGCTATTTGTTTTGATGCTTGAAATTGTCCCAGATTGGACCAGTGGGAACCTATTATGTCTTTCAAGCTCATTTTTTTGGTCTTTCTGACATGTCCCCATCATGTTTTGAGCATTTCCTTTGAGCACTTTTTGGCACAAAAAGATATTCCAGGCTCATTTTATACTTTCCCTGCTCCAGCCCTGGAATTAGACATTTCTTCAGAGTTCTGGCTCCTTTTAGTGGAAAATGTTATTTAGAAACCACAATTTACACACTAGATGTGCTCACTGCTACTGGGTATTGCTGATCCCAGACTCTCTTAGTGGTTAGAGCCAGAGAATATACCACACACAGCGAGATCCACAATATACACATCTTTATTGATTTCTATATCTACCACATATATCAAAAACCATAGGGTTCATACTACTGGGTCTAATTCCAATCCAACATAGGAATCCTTCTAGTTTCCTTCCTTTCATATTTGTAACTAAATTCCACAGAAGTGAACAACCGATCCTATTTTCTTAATATACTTACTAATTTGTATGTAACCTATCTTTTACGGCTGACCCTATCCACCCAGGGGCCCTTCTTGCCCTGCTTGAATATGGCTATCCAGTGCTAGGCCACCACTGTTCACTCTTTCCCAACAAAAAAGCCCTCCCCACCCTGGGTTCCAACCCTCCAGTGCTGGGCCACTGCCGTCTCCTTTCCTTTGTGGATCCCTCTAGATCCTCCCAGCATTCGGATATCTGCTGCCAAGCCACTGCCACCACTATCCCATGTAATGAACCATTTCATCCCTCAGGCTCCAACACTCTCAACCAGGCTGCTCTCTGGCTCAGATGCCCTCTTCAACCCCTGCCAACTCTTCCACAGGGATGCCCTCCATGCCCCATCCACAGTCTGATAACCAAAAATAACCAAAAAGGGTCAGCGACCCAGACAGACACCCTCATCATGTAGCTTAGGTTCCAACACTCCACTCTGAGCCATCATGGTCACCAGCCACACCTAAGCCCCCCAGCTGAAGCCTAACTTCCTAGTGACTTTTGGATTTGGGGAGGGGATTCTGTTCTTTTAATAAAAGCTCTTCCTCCCCGTTCTGATAACCCATGGCTTGCCGACAAGTAAGCCAGTTGTACATAGATTCCCTTTCATCTGCGTCATAATTCCTTTAACCAGAAAGAATTTAACAGAAAGAGTATTAGGTACAGTGGAAAGAGACTCCACTAAAACATATCACTGATCTCAACTCTTCACTCCAAGAGGCAGGGTCCTTCCTGGGGCAATGGCCCAGAGGACTGGTACACCAATTTTACAGGGCAATAATCCTATCTTCTCCTATGCATGGGTTGTGCACACCCAATCTTTCCTGTATCACAAGACATGTTTTTAAAAGTCCATTATGTTTTAACTGACTGGAGCATGAATATGGAAGAAAAAAAATTACATGAGCCAGTCTCCAATTCTAAGACTGTTAAGAGCTTACATGTGCTGCCATTCTATTTACTAAAGACATCTTTCAAATTTGAGTGAAAACCTGAATGTTTGAGTGAAGTGAATTGTGAACAGAAATCGATGAAGAGACCCAAGATGGCTTCTGAATTCATTCATTAAAGAATAAATCACTTCCTGTGTGACAGAATTCCCTGATACCTAAGCACCCTTTCAGAGTCATTTCTATTGGTTATTCCTTCTGTTTACTGTGGCCTCTGGAATATATTGCTGGCGAGTAAATCTAACTTGAAGGAAAGATTTGATTACACACACGATTTCCACTTTTTCTCCAAAACAGCATTTCCTAAAGTATGTTCCAGGCAACACTAGTATCTCAGAATATTATTATTTGTCATGGAATAAAAAGGGTTTGGGGCCAAACAGGATGGGAAGCACTGAGTAACATACATTTCTCCACTGCAGGACCTTCTTAGAACCACCAGGACATGAATCTTAAGGAGACAAAAATGAAACACAACGTTCCCTCTCCCCAACCGCAGTATTACTGAACTACGGCACCTTTTTGCATGGAGCATTTCTCAGAAATAATGTTCTGTAGAAAGTATGAGGGGAAAAAATTTCTGTAGCATTGAATAATAACGTATCACCAATTAAAAAATCTAATGCCACTTACAAAAAGGAATATATAAGAGGTTAGATATATGGACAAACATCCAACTCACTAATAATCAAAGAAATGCAATGAAAACAGTGGGACTATTCACTTATCAGATAAACAGTGAATTCAACCAACGATACTGGTGAGAGCTTGGTGACCAGGCATTCCTGTATGTTGGCAGCAAAGGGTATCTTTTAAGAAACTGGCACAATTCTTTTGGAAAACAGTTTGGCAAATAGTTTTTAAATGTTTATGTGCACTGCTCTTAAAAGGGCCCATCTGGGGGCGCCTGGGTGGCGCAGTCGGTTAAGCATCCGGCTTCAGCCAGGTCACGATCTCGCGGTCCGTGAGTTCGAGCCCCGCGTCGGGCTCTGGGCTGATGGCTTGGAGCCTGGAGCCTGTTTCCGATTCTTTGTCTCCCTCTCTCTCTGCCCCTCCCCCATTCATGCTCTGTCTCTCTCTATCCCAAAAATAAATAAAAACGTTGAAAAAAAAATTTAAAAAAATTTAAAAAAATTAAAAAAAAAAAAAAAGGGCCATCTGAGATTCTCCTCTTAAGTAAATAATCCAAAATGAAGGAAATGCCTTACATTCAAAGATGCTAATGGCTAATGGCTTACAAGCGGGGGATGGGGGGGGAATCCCAAGTAATAAAAACTCCCAACAGTAGGGAAATGCTTCCAAGGTCCATAATAAAATGCCATGCAGCCATGAAAAATATTCACAATGTTTTTACTAGCATGGGGAAATGCTTCTGTCGCTATTGCACCTGAAAACTGTGAGCTATGAAAGTCTAAACACAGCTCCCGTCGACCCTTCACATCCACAGAAGACCTTCAGCCTATCATTTCTTCCAGAAGTACAATAAGGTACAGATAACTTTTTAAGTAATTCCAAGACCCTTAGAGAAGTTACTGAAAGAGCACAACAAAGCCTTATGGAAATGGGAACTTGGGACAGGTGGCTAGGTCACTTGCCAGTTAAGTGTTTTATTCACAGATCCGAGTCCTGCAAGCATGACATGAGCAATTCAAATTCAGCAAAATTATAATTTAATACATGTCATGAACTTTCAGGGCTGCTTGGGAATATCAGATATTGTGAATATTAACTGTGAATGCTAAAGGTCTATTTATTTTTTAACTCAAAAAGCAAAGAAAGAAACATCTCCAAATACTAGCGATTCTTATTTTAGGGAGGGCGGTTAGGGGGACATATTAGGAGTGATTTTCTCTTCCTTCCTAGTTCCCGAATTTCCCAAACGTTCTATAATGGGCATGCATTACTTTTTGGTAAACATTTTGGTGACACATAAGGCATGTATTACTTTAATAATCAAAATGTTAAAGTTACTTGCTAAAAAGAATAAAATATAAGGTAAATACCTGGCCTTTTGTCGTGTAATCCGCCAAGATGTTAAGCAGCTTATAAAATACTTCGAACCAAGGGAGATAGCTGTGGAAAGAAGGGCAGAAACACGAACTATCAGTATGCAGGTCAAAAACTTTAACCAGGAGCTAATGCAAGACTGGTAGGTTTCAGATTTTCTTCTACATCCTGAAAGAGGCTTCCCATCATAGGCTCCTGGAAACACAGACTAGTAGAATGCTAATTATTTCTGGGATTTAAAAAAATTGTCTATGTAAGGTAGAGGATTGAATGTCCATTATAAATTATTCCCATGCCTCAGAGCTAGAACAGGTTCACAGAGAAGAAATTCAAAGCAGACTCTGCTATCAGGAACCATCTCTGAATAGGCCCCCAGGCCTCTCCCACCACACTCGCCCTTTCCAGGAAAGCCTCTAATCAAGTGCCCGTGACTGGACACACACGGACACACAAGCAAACACACAGCACTTTGGTGTCCCAAAGGCCCCACGAGCCCGAAACCAGTCATAACATTAAATCAGACGTCCCACCTGTACCGCACGCCCTCCATACTTACTGCAGGACCAGTTCTAATTCTGTCCCCACTGGCCTCCGCTGGGTCCTCACCATGCTGCTCCTTCACTCTGAGGACAGTCTGGTCCTGACCTGACTCTACCCTCTGTGGGGCCTCAAGAATGCTCCTTCCAAAATGCACATCTAAGCGGCACGCTGACCCAGCTCCTGCAGTGGTGCCCCATCACTATCGGACTTTTTAGGTTGATGTTGGAGACTCTTCACTGTCAGGTCCTCGACTGCTCTCTGGCTGCCCTCTCCACCTCCCCACATGCACTCTTCTCTCACTGCAGCCTCCCTCTGAGAATGGCCAGGCATCCTGAAACCTGCCCGACCTTGCAGACACTTGGCCCTTCCCTCCCTCTGACCTTCATGGTCTACTCTAGCGGGTTTCCACTCACCCTCCTGATGTTCCCCCTTGCACGTCCCGTTCCCACCCCTGATGCCCTAATTCCCTCTTCTCTGTGCTGCCCCGGTCACATGCATATTCCCGTTATAACATTCCACACGCCATGTGGCACTCAATGGCCTGTCTGTTTTGCTAACACACTGTGCACAAACAGACAGGAAGGATCACATCTTTCTTCACTTTGTCTTTCCAGGGCCAAGCATGGGGCCCAGCGCTTGGTGTTGACTGAACAAACAGAACTATACAAAGACTACGAGCAAAAAGCACGTTAATGTTACAGAATTGTTGCTGAACGATCTCCCCCCCCCCCCCCCCCCCCCCCCCCGCTCCGCCTCCCAAGAAGTATTGTCACTTCATTGAAATGGCTTTGTTTTCCATAAGAGACTTTTCCAAAGCGACAGAGAGTCAAACGAGGAGAGTGGCGTACCAGGCAAGCTCTTGCTGTCCTGCTCACGTCCGCCCTGCTGAGCTCACAGGGTCTGTTCCTGATAGAGCTGGACGCGCAGAGAGCGCTGATCCTGCCGGCGGAGGGAACTCAGCACCCCGTACAGATTACCAGCTGTACGGCCGAGGGTAATAGATGAAGTGAGAGGCAATCCAGGGGACAGATAAAGTGCACAGTTCTCCATCATTAACGTCTGTCTGAAGCCAGCACATGCTACTGTAAAATTTAAGTAGCTTATCAAAATATACTGATAAGCAACTTAACTTTTCACTTCTATGACAGTATTATCACTTCTGTTAATATGTTTCAATCAGCCCTGGCAGCTGCATATTGACTATTACACAGCAAATGACTGCTGCCACTTTACGCAGCATTTACTTTGGCAGAGCAATGTAAACATTCAAGAGGGATTAGGGAGGAGATAAGTTTCTCCCTTCCTATTCTGTTAAATAAACCTCGGCTGAGTTAAAAGCCATTATAGTGGGAACAATAAATCCCCTCAGACGAAAACTCTTGCCCAGATTAGAGGACTCTTAGTAAACAAATTCAACCAAGGCTTACAATTTTTTTTTTTTTATCCCTTGAAAGAAAAAATGCCACTAGTTAAATCCAGCAACTCCAAGTCAGGAAGGAAGGAGGGGAGGAGGGGGGGTGGGTAGGAAAGGAAGAAGAGAAAATATTTTCTCGCAAGGAAACCACGGCCTCAAGTAAATGAGAGAAAAGCTGAAGTCATTTTAGGAATGCTTGATGAAGTGATGGGGCAGGCCAGATTCTCTGGGAAGTCAGGACCACAGTATTCGTGCAAGAGGCTTTTGCCGCTAGGTTCAGCTGATCAACTAGCATGGGCCCTGACCCTCAAGCCTCTACGTGCTCCGCTGCTAGGGGACGTGGCCAGGCAGCACCCAGCTTCTCACGCTGGGCCTCCACCTCACTGAATCAATTCTTCTTGGCTACACTAAGCAGAACCCTCAGTCCTGGGAGGTTTTGCAGTTACCCTGGAGATCAGCCATTTCTTTCTCCCTCTGGCCTGACCGGACACAACTGTTCCCCACATGTTGTCCCCTGTTCACTGACAGATGAATATCCAGTGATGGCAGTGTTAAGGTCTTGAAACCAAAACCCAGCTGTCTTCTTCTTCAAAGGATCCCTCTTTTCCCCTGTTGGGAGGCCAGGGTTCACAGCTGAACTTTATCCAGTGGCGTTTCCTGTATCGCTTCATTAGTGCTGGCACAACGGCTTTGCATGGCCTGCGAGGTTGCAGGTGAGGATATGGAGACCCTCCACTCCATTCTGTGCGTGTCTGTCATCATGGAGTAAACACTACTTCCCGGTCCAGAGACAGGAAACAAACACTCCATTACACTGTTCGTCCCTAGACATCTAAAGCAGTTCCAAACATCCCTGGGCCTGCTCTGCTCGCTACCTTTATGCAACTGCTCGAGTCTGCGATGCAGAGCATCACTGTGCGGTGGGCTCAGTCCAAGGCCAGGGCAGAATCGCCAGAGGACAAAGGGTCCCTGCATTCAGGAAGGCCATGGTCCTAGCAGGGAAGAGAGATGTACACAACAAAATAGTTTGGGTAGGGGGAGCTGGAATTCTTTTCCCAGGGTTTTATTCAGCTCCCACTTTGGATCAATTTATAAAGCTATCATAACCAACCAGCAGAGCCTCGATGGGACAAAGCCAAAACAGGACAAGCTCGCTTCCAAGGCACTGGCCATGATCCATGCTTCTCTCACCAAACTGTGGTTCAGGTAACCTTGTCCCTGGGGCTCTGCCGTCACTCCCTGGCCTAACAGTCAAATGGACAACAGGCTCTTGTTTTGTGTGAAGCAATACAGAGCCTTAAACTTGAGAACTCAGGTAGTAGCCGAGTATTCCTACATACACGGCCTCACTGACATGGGGCCATCACAGGCCCTGGTAGGATGTGCAGGGGTAGGTTCCAGAGACCGTGCTTAGAGTCAAATGGCCCAGAGTAAAAATCACCTGTAAAAGGTCCTTAAATTACCCCCAACATAGAGCAGACATGGTTTTGTAGACACCAAGTAGCCGGCCTAAGTTTGGGGGACACGGTGAATGAAAACTCTGTTCCAATCTGTCAGCTTGGAGAGCTGCTTACCCTCCGGCTGAACTCAGGAACCAAGTCCAAATGAGGACAGATGACTTACTTTTCTAATCTCGCTCCACTGAATGGACTGTCAGGATAATCGTTCCCACTGTTTTGTGTGTGTACACGTATCTAAGTGACCTTGTGTAAGTGTATGTATGATGGGATTCCACGCCAGTGTCGTTAAGCATTTAGATAGAAAGCCATCACAAATTTGAAAGAGCTCTCCCCACATCTCTTGCTAATATCAGAGACATCAGACGAGCCCAAACAAGGCAGGGGTGTGCATGATAGGGAGCAACAGAGGCAGCCACTGCCCAAGCTGAGGAAGGTGGCCACCTGAGAGAGCAAAAGCTGTGAGCAGGAGGTCAGAGTTCAAGCATGAGGAGGAGGGGGAGGAGGAGAGCCTCCTTCAGGGGCAACCCGGCACAGAGTGCTGGGGTCTGAGTGGGGTGAGGAGGGTTCCCTGGCAAGGGAAAGCCAGGGCTCCAGCAAGATAAGAAGAGCATCCACACAGAAGGTGGCCTGGCTTGGAATGTCAGCACTCAAGAGGGGGTAAAGATTTAAGTAGGGGCAAAGGCCTGGTACTGGTAGGAAAGCATCTAGGTCAAGAGAAAGAGGTTGGCTAGACTGGTATTGGAACCTAAGAGGAGCGAAAAAAGCATCTGGAAGGCAGTTCAGTGTGGGGTGTCAGAGCCTGACTGGGTAGGAGGGCTTCCATGAAGGGTGGTGAGGCAGAGTCCAAGCAGTCGAGAAGAATGTCTACGGTAGGAGGAGGCGGCAGAGCCTCAGAGGTCAGAGTCCAAACAGAATAGCCCTGCCTAAGATGTCAGAGTCCAAGTGGGGTGAGGAGGGCGGCCACGGAGGAAAGGACCTGCAGCGGAGCGAGTCCGATCAAGTATGTAAATGCATAATGGAAACCATTACTACTATCAGAGAAGAGAGTTACAAATATGGACCAGGAAAAAACAAGAATGAACCTATGGTGTCACGTTGGAATTCGATGAAACTGTGTGAAATCATGGAGACAGATAAAATGGGCAGAAAGACAAATGTATGTGTGTACATAATGTGCATATACACCCTATATGTACATATATTCTCTAGCTCTAGCCACTGAGGGGGCTTGGAAGCAGAGACACCCCAATTACGATGAGCATGCTTCGTGTCCAGGTCTTGGTTTCGGAGGACCATCTGCCACAAAAAGGAACCAGAGCTCCTTGAAGAAATGTCTGACTCCAAGGCTGGGGCTGGGAAATATCTTGTTGTACTAGAAAAAAGGCAGTGCTCAACACATGATCAGGGCATGCCGACAGGACACAAAAGCCAGTTGGGGGAGGGGGTTCTGGCTGACAAAATCTGTGACAATCTGAGCACCAAAACAAATTATGATAGAAAGAGATAATAGAACAATAAATAAATTAGGAAATCGTGAGTCTGGACTAATAGGAATAAATGAATTGAAAGTTTGATGAGGATGAGAGAAGATGAGGATATTCACAATACACTTTTGAACTACAAAGGGAAAAAGAAGGAAAAAGCCTGGGAGA